CCTCCAGTGGGTTTTCAGAGGCAGTAAATAGCATAAGAGGAGACTGCCCATCTGTACTCATGGGAACAGCTGGTGGATTTGAACTGTGTGCCTCTGTGACTGCAGCACAGCTTCTTACGTTGAGGCTACTAGAGCTCCTCCAATCTATGGCTGTACATTTTCATAATTAGGTGATGGCGAGGAAGGTGATGAATGGTAGGTATGGTGGCTGGAAGCTGTCAAGGAACAGCTCTCTGAAAACATGCAGAGAGACCTGGACAAGACACTGAGTTGAATCTGGGAGCTTAAGGGAAGATCAGGGCAGGCAGGAGCCTGACAAGAGCAAAGGCTTCGTGAGGCCACCTGCTTGTGGCATCTGAGTCAACAGCGATATAAGGACCCTCACAATGCGTGCTGAGGACAAAGGGGTCAGAGTTACAGCACCTTTCACGCTGAGATCACGTGGCTGGAATGGGGCGGAGGGCTCAGGTGGCGTGGGGACCATGTGCAATCACATTTTGTTGGATCTGTGATGGGTTTTTTAAACCAAAGTTTTTCACAAAAAAAAGTTAACTTTTTTTTTTTTTGTTCCCATGTTTTATTCAGGGCTTATACAAAATATTCAAGAGAATTGAGTTTTAATTCTCATCTTCCTCCTCTTCTTCATCCTGGTTAATCTGGAAGTAACTTTAACAAAAGTTTACAGAGACTCTGGATTTCCATTCATTAATTGTTGCACACTTTCCCTCCTGTCCACCCCTCCCCCCAATTCACTTTTCTCTTTGAAAAGTAATAAAAAACTCTTTTATTGTTATACATCTCTCCCTCCACCCCCAGTCAACTCCACTAAGAGCTTTAATTTTGGACTCTCATCATAACAATAAATATATTCCTCCCAAAGAGTTCTCTCCCTCATCTGTTTCAATGTAGTATATATTATTTATCCCCTCTTAGCTTTCCCCCAACTCCGACATCAGACCCGTTTTACGACAGTGGCACTATGCAGTATTTGTCCTTTTGTGACTGAGATACTTCACTCAGCATAATGTCCTCCAGAGTCACCCATTTTGCATAATATTTCATGAATTCCTTGTTTTTTAATGCAGCATAGTATTCCATTGTGTGAATATACCACAGCTTCTCTATCCATCTGTTTGTTGATGGGCACTGAGGTTATTTCCAACTCTTTGCTATTATGAACAAAGCCGCGATAAACATGGGTGTGTAGATCTCTGATGTTTTGAGATAAGTACTGGGCGCTCAAGTGGAGACACCAGGCAGATAATTCACTGTGCTGATGTCACTGGGTCCACAGCCAAGTTCTACCTAAATGTATTAAACTCGGCTTCAAAAGAATTTGTTATTCCATGCCAAGTGTGTTCTCTCTGCAAGGCTTCAGAGTAACAAATGAGAGGATGGGGTTACATTACAAATTAACCTGCTTTCTGAAAAGCCAAATACCCTCAACATAACATCACTGGTTTTACGGCAGGACTACATGGAGCCGGGAATGACTCAGCGCTGACCTGCCAGCAGGCTTCAGAAGCTGCAAATCGCAGGGGAATGCTCATCTTTCTCCCGCGGAGCCACCAGAGTGGTCCTGGACGAGGCCACCAGTGCTCCCTGGGCCTAGAAGCCACTGCATGTGAATGTTACTGCTGTCCAGTGCGGCTCAGGGCGACTCCGGTGCTGCTGTAAAACAGATGTCTTCACAGGCTAACCTTCCCAGTCACCTTTCCTAAAACAGGTAGTCAGGCCTTTATTCCGTGGGACTGCTGGGTGAAGTCTGAGCCCCCGACCCGTACGGGACAGCTGCTGGGAGACCCCGTGCACAACTCAGGCTCCAGCATCCCCAGAAAGGTATGTCTGAGTTCCATTTCTCTCTCTCACACACACATACACACACACACACACACACACACACACACACACACACACACAGGTGTGTAGATTCTATTCTGTGCCGACGCAGAAAGAAAGTGCAGCCTGAAGGACTCCTGGAGCAGTGAGGATGAGATGATGTAAATAATGAAAATGTGCAACAATGAATGAATGGGGGAAAATTAAATGGAAAGAATATGTTGTAAAAATATTTAGGTTGCATTAAAAATTATTAAGTAAAAAACACAAAACAACAACAAAATAATGGCACTGCCCAATTACTTGGACATATTTGAGATGTTATAACATTGAAATGTTAAAAGATAACATGCATATGAGTGACTGAATGGAAACCAATTTAAAAAAAAAAAAGACTAGCGCATACCAGCAGTTCGCTGGACTTTTGTCTTGGGGCCCTAACATATTATTCAGAGGGAACTCTGCATTAAATAAATATCTTCTGCAAGAAATAATTACTAGGAGTTAAGTATTCAATTTAAGCCTTGTATTAGACACAACGAGGGGCACTATTAAGTAAATATACAACATAAGCTCTCTTCCGTATTTTGAAACAGTGACATTATACTAAAGAAGGAATGAAGGTTACTGTTATGAGCCTTGAGCAGGTTCCCATCGCTGGGTCTCTGCTCAAACCCTCCCAGCCCAGGAAGTGCAGCTGTCTCAGAAGTGGAGCTGCCTGCCGACAGGTCAATGGTCCACTGGGGGCGAGGCTTTCTTCACACAGAACTGTGATCCCTCGCAGTCCCTGTAACTCATCCCCTCCTGTTTCTATTTCTGTCCCCTCCTATCTTCAGAACAAAGTCAAAGCCCAACTGAAACATCTGAGGGCAGGTGGCCCCTTCCACCTGCACCCTGGTAAACATGCCCAGAGCTGCTGTGTACAATCCTGGCAAAAACACAGGGCCTGGGGGTCAGGGCGGGGTGGATTCTGAGCTGTACATTGCCGGGAAACCTCTCTATGCCCCTCTGAGTCCCCTCATCTGTGAGAAGTCACAGAGCAGAAAGGCCAGAAATGTGGGTGCCTCTTGTCTTTTCCCTGGCTGCTCTTATCTGTAAAATGCCTGGTGTGGGAAACACAATGTATATAAATATAAATATAAATAGACATAGAAATAGACATAGAAATAGAAATGAGATACAACGTATATAACGGAAACAATGCGGTATAAACAAAACACAATGCATTTGACTATTATATGCAAACCATATAAAATGAGTTTAAAAAATAGACAAGAGTTTCTAAGAGCAGGAGGCACCCCGGGCACAGTGTGCATTTGGGGGAACCTGCTCCCCAAAAGTTCTCAAGGTGGTGAAGACCTCAAGTACCCACAGAATGTTTAGTTCCTCAAAAGATCACAAACTCAATTTTAAAGGGAAAAAAAAGCATGTCTTCCTTTCCTAGCTTATACTTGTATCATGATGTTCTCCCCTGATTTTAAGTGAAATACTACACATTCAGGCAGCTCTGGTGGCTTGGTGGCTAGGGAGTTTTACTGGCAACCTGAGGGCAGGGAGTTTGAATCTCCACTCGGTGGGACAGAGATGGGCTATCTCCTCTGGTTGTGATTTACAGCCTCTGAAAAACCCCGGGCCAGTCAGCTCTGGGTTCTGTCTCTACTGCACATGACAACAACAACAACATATTTAGCCATGTTAAATTGTGTCTTAGTGGTCTGGATTACCCAGTAAGACCTTTTTGGAAAGGGAATTATTTTAGTCAACATTTATTTTTCCAGGCTATCATTATTCAATCCTGAAATTTCCATCATGTAGAACCTGGAGCCTACACGGTTTCTGAGACACATATTTCACCCTACAGGTCAAGGCTGGCTTAGACACAGCACACCTACCAGTGGCCTTCTCCTTCCTCTCCCAGCCTGCAGCCCTCACTGCCAGACGACAGCCTCACCACCATACGCCCCAGGCCTCACCTCGGCTTGGAGTGACTTCCTCCTGAAAGTGTCAAACGAGGATGATGACAGGACTGAGGTCAGAGAGGGGGAGGAAGCAAGGGCCCAGGGCAGAGAGAGGGCTTCCGGACAGTCCCCGTGAAGGGCACCCCTTATTTCTGCTTTTCTTTTTTTTTTAAAATTATTATTAAATTTTATTAGTTTTAGTGAACATTTACAGAGATTTTGGGTTTTCATTCATTCCTTGTTGCACTGTTTTCTCTACCTTCCTCCCCAGTTCGTTCTTCTCCACCCCCCGCCCCCGAATGTCTGTTTTAATTGTCCAATTGCCACAGTGCTTGTCGAAGCCAGTTCTGATTAATCTGCTTTTCAAGTTCTTTACTCCAACCTACAGCTCAACGAGGCTTCATGGCCTCCACATTAGGAGGTTAAGCCAGGGCCAGCTGGACTTCTTCCTAAGCGGCCAGCACGCGATCGTCAGCTGGGTGCAGATGCTGGCAGTGGGGATGTTTACAACAGTCAGGACACAGGGGGTGTGTGTGAGTGAAAACTTCGAGTCTGTAACTCTGGTATTAATAAACTGGAATTCTTCCTCTCATGATACTTGCTCTCTTTATTACCTTAAGGTAAGTCCATAAAGCACTCTTCGCTGTTTATCTGTTGTGGGTTTGTGTGGGTTGTTTTGAAACAGACACTTGGTTACTGAGCCTTTTCAGTATGTTCTGGAGCCTCTGAGGGTCACATCTTGTGCAGTCTGCAGTCGTGAGAGAAGGAGAGCTGGGCAGGCACTATATACGTGCCCTAAGCTGTGCCTTGGCTGTACCCTGAGCCACACACCACGCACCAGGCTGTACCCCGACACCCTGCCTTCCCTCTGGCTCCTCCAGCTCCTGCTGCAGGAACATCTGCTTCTCCTCAGGGTCCAGGGCTGGCCCAATCCCAGCCTCAAGCCTCATCTCCCCCTCCACCCTGAGAGAGCAGGTGAGACGAAGCAATGAATGACGTGTGGGGGCGTGAGAATAAACTGATACTTTTAACCACTGTTTGGTCTCCTCTTTTCACTCTCATCCCTTTCACACACAAATAGCCCTTGGAAGTTTTCTGTGAATAGAAAAGACAGGCATTTCTAGATATGCATATTTAAGAATAATGTCTGGACATATATACCAATACTTAGTGCTATGAACGGATGGAACACTTCATACTGACCTTAGGGGGTTTAAACGGATAGTCTGGTGAAAAGGCAATGTCAAGAAAGAACACCCCTCCTTCATAGACAGATCCTGGGGGTCCCAATATAGTTGACCTCCATTCATAAATGTTGTCTCCTTTGGGTCCGGCACTAAAACAAGACATACAAATGAAATGGCTTAGAAGTTACTCACAGCCTGGGATTTAAAAATCTACTTAATGTAACAACGAGTTAAGAGTCGCTTTATAAGAACATCACAAAGTTAACTGGTTAATTCCGTGGAACAAATATGCTAATATCATCGGTATCCCAGAAATGAAATGTTTGCATTATTTACTAGCACCAATAAGAATTTCTTTATGCTGTTCCCATCTCTGAGTCTATGGAAAACAAAACAAAACAAAACAAAAAACAACAACTCCCAAGGACCACAGCCCAGAGGTAGGAGTACAAATGTTTAATAAAGCCTAAAATTATCCTGAAAAGGGTGAGATATTTTATAACTATATATATATAACTATAACTATATATATAACTATAACTATATATATAACTATAACTATATATATAACTATAACTATAACTATATCTCTAACTATATCTCTATCTATCTATCATCTATCTATCTATCTATCGTTAAAAGGTTGAGACAAAATTTCAAAGTCAAAAGAGCCACTGGAAAACATTTAATCCCTTTGTTTACATATAAGAATACAAATGAAATCCGTGGAGAGCAGTAAACAGTAGCATCCTTCAGACTCTGGTCAAATTCATGTCCTATCTTACCATTAGTTCCTCTTTCCTCTGTCTCTACCCACAAAGCTCTAGGCGCTGCCTTATCCACTGTGACCAGTGGATACAATGTATCTCTTTGCCTCCTAAGTCCCTGCTGTAATTGCTTATTTTGTTTCCCTAGAAGAGAATTTCCTGGAGGGACAGATTCTGCCCTTTTCTTAAAGTCTAGTAAGAAGATGGTGAATGAGTAATGATGGATTAACAGCAAAGGAAGTGAAGCCACCTAGTTACTAAATCTCAGAGCTTCACGGAAGAAATCAAGGCCTAGGCAAGCCAGCAAGCCAAGGCGAGAGCTTCACTTCCATCATTCTTTCAGCACATCAAGAACTAGAAATTATCCTCACACCCAGTCGCAAAGGTACGCAAAAAGATTTATTGCCAAGAGTGATTTTATTTCTTCATTCTCTTCTTTTGAAATGAGTTTAAAACCATAAATATTTTGTTACCGAACAGATATTTTTTTACAAAAATGGCACCCAAAAGACATTAATAGCCACTCAGGATATAAACTTAGCAAAATTTGAAGAGAAATGAAGTGTCTTTATCTTGATAAATGGCCTCTAATAAAAAACACTCATAGTCATTACGACATAAAAGTGTTAAATACAGAAAACACTCCTTTTAAGCTGAAGAACAAGAAAATGATACTTGTGCTCATCATTTCTAATCATTACTATAGAGGTCAGAGACCACAAAGTGTAAATCACAAAAGGAAAAGAGAAATACAATCTACACAGGGACAGACTGACAGAGCTTACAGGATTCATGTTTACCCAGGACTTATCTTTTCATTTTAAATTGAAATTCCGTATGACCCAGCTATTCCACTATTTGGAATATACCCCGAGAATATGAGAACTGAGGCACAAATGGAGACTTGTACATCAATATTCACAGCAGCATTATTCACCATCGCAAGAACATGGCAACCGCCCATATGTCCAACTACAAACGAATGGATTGAGAAATTGTGGTACATTCACACAATGGAATACTATGTAGGATGTGGGACTGAAGAGCTTTATGCTGAGTGAACTAACTCAGTCCCACAAGGATAAATATTGCATAAGACCGTTACTGTAGAATGAGTATAAGGATCCAGGAGGGGTGGGAGAAGCTGGAAGCAGAGGGATGTGGATGTACAGGGGGAAGAGGGGATTAATCATAAAGTTGTACACTTTGTTGGGGGGGGGTGAGGGAAATGGAAAGAATTTGAATTTGTATTAGAATTTTGTAAAGAAACTAGTAAAAAAGGGAAAAAAAATAAATAGAACTGATTAAACTTAACATTTAGCCAAATGGACTACCAACCCCCCCAAAACAACACAACCCCCCAAACCAAAACAACAAAACTAAAAACAAAACAAAACAAAAAAATCAACCCAAAAAACAAAAAAACCCCCCAGTTTCATTGCAATATCTAAACAACATTAAAGTATATTAAAATACTAGCTATGATAATATTAAAACTTATAATGTACTAAAAAATCTAATAAAAGGTATTTAAGATAAAGAGAATGATAAACTTTTATTGTCATATACACGTGATAATTAAAGACATGGAGATCAATACCAAGTTAAGGGACAAGGAGATGTCCACTGCCCTCCATGCTGATCCAACGCCATTCTAATTAGGATCTCAATCTTTCTAAAAAAAAAAATTAAACTTGACAAATTGATCCTAAAACATGTTTGGAAGATAAAGGAACACCCTCCAGCCCCCCCCCCCCATGTTCTTCCACAGATAGAAATGAATGCCAGGCGTGATGGGGCTGGGACAATGGTTTTGCATCTGGAGACTACAGAATGGATTTCTACCCACTAAACACACAACACTCAACTGCAGAAACAACACATGTGTAAGTGCAAAGTGACAAGTGTTATGGCTTTTGTCAAAAGGGAGAGAGAAGACCAATCAGACTGAGGAAAGGTATTCATTCATGTACATCACGTGAACCCGACTGAGGATCAAGGTCCAGAGGATACGAAGTCCTATCAATCAAAGAAGAACTAATAAGCCAACAGACAAAAGACAAGAACAGGTGTTTCTAAGAAGAGACACCAACAGCCAGCAATAATGTTAAAAAAATGCTCAAGTTCATGAAAACTAAGGAAACAGATCTTTTCTTCATAAGGTTTGCTGCATAATAACAAGGAAATATAAATCACAAGTCCATCAGTGAAATCTAGATGGTTTGTTTTTTTTCAATAGATAGGTAGCTCTTGTGGCCTGGTGGCAAGAAGCTGTGCTGCAATCTTGAAGGCACTTGGTTCAAGTCCACCAGCTGCTCCGTGGAAGACAGATGGGAAATCTCCTCCCATGTGGTTAAGTGCCTCTAAAAACCTGTCAGAGGGTCAGCCTTGGGTTGGTTTTGACTCGATGGTACGCAATAAAAGTATCATCATCATCATCAACAACAACAACAACAGGCAAACAGAAAATCCAATGAAACAAAGTGCTGATGAGCCTGGAGCAAACCAGAACTCCCAGACCCAGTGCACAAGGTGAAGGTCATTCTGGATCAGCATGTGACCTGAGTATCCTCTCCGACCCTGTACTCGCAGATAACACACAGCAACAGCACTTTCAAGTGCACATACAAAGCTCACCGTAGGGCTGTCTGTAACAATAAACATGAAATCTCAAGGGCTGGAACATGGGCACCCAATCCCCCACCACCACTTTGTTGTTCTGTGCTGTTGAGTCACCTAAGACTCATAGTGACCCTATGTACAACAGCCCTAAACTCTGCTCTGTCCTGTGCCAATTGCTTTGTCTCTGACACACCCATCCCGATTACCCCAGTCACTGAATCAATCCACCTCATAGAGGGCCTTCCCCTCCTGCGCTGTCCCTCCACCCTCCCAAGCATGATGTCCCTCTCCAAGGACTGGTCCCTCCTTGCAACATGTCCAAAATATGTCAGATGAAGCCCCAGAATCCTTGCCTCCAAGGAGCAGCCTGGTTTAACCCTCTCAAGGATGAACCTGTTTGTATTCTTAGCAGTCCCCGGTACATTCAATATTCTTCTCCAGCACCACAGCTCAAAGGCATCAATTCTTCTATCCTCCCTAGTCATTGTCCAACTTTCTGATGCAGAACAAGTGATTGCAAAGACCATGGTCTGAGGTACCCGCACACTTACCCAGAAGAAATACTCCATCTTCCCGAACAGCCCCTGGCCGATTCCCACCCACAGGGACATGACAGGATGGAGGTCCACACCCCAAAGGGCTTTCAAAGCTGTAAATCTCTACCCAAGCCGACTGCCTCATCATTCTTGGATGGAGAAGCTGGTGGATTTGAACAGCTGGCCTTCCCATTAGCAGCTGAATGTTTAATACACTGCACCACCAGGATCCCTTTCTGTAGGTGTGAATTATTTTACACAGAAAGCTTATGAAGATAAAACACTGAATTGCTGTTGTTGTTATGAGCTGTCCAGTCGTCTGCCACTTACAGTGATCTTCTCGACAGCAGCTCTGAGGCTGTTCTGGCCTGAGTCAGTCTCACTGCTTGCTGCTGTTAAGTACTGAATGAAAAAGTGAACTGAACGTATGTAAGATTACTCACTACATCCAAAAGGTTCAAAAAGCAAACTAGAAAATGTATTCCTGAGGAATACGTACACAGGTGTGTTGGTGGCTGTCAGGTGCCATCAGGCTGAATATGACTGGCAGCAACCCTGCGAACAGCAGACCAGACCCTGCCGTTCTTACAGCCACAGCCAGAATCAAGTGCACCTTAGTCTTCAAACCGACATCACTGCTCTGACGTATTCTGGAGAGGATTAGGCAATGAGCGGGCAGGGACATATACACATGAGAAAAATGTCAAGAAAAGTGGCTTCCCAGATGGGATGGGAGCAGAGTGTGGGGGAGGCAGGCAGGGGACCACATCAGGGCTCTGGGGAGGGCCTGTTTCCTGGTACAGGCTGGGGGTTCAGGAGTACAGCTTCTATTTCAGTGTACGGCTTCATACCTTAGCTGTTAGAAGTGCTCTTTTCCCAAACCTATCAAATTTATACATTAAGAAAGGCATGCCCAAAGGTAAAATAAAAAGCTATGTGAGACAAGCAAGTGCGGGGTGATCCTTCCTACACGTATTAAGAAGCGCAGGAAGCAACAGTCCTTTGTCTTGTTTATGGGCCCGTATCTGCAGAAACATCTTTTAAGAAGTGGGCAGAATCTAACTGACTTCACGACCAGCTGTGCATGGAGCAGGGGAGAGGGGGGCATGGGAGGCTGGGAGGGACTTGTAGATGGTGAATAAAGAAGAATTCAATTTTACGTTTAGTGTTTGCTTTCTTTTATGCAGGAAAGAGAGGAAGTTTAAAAAACACACTTGGGAAGCA